ATATATGCATTATATATCTACTTATACATATATACATACATATGCACTACATATATAGACATCTTTATTTGAATAAGAATAACATTCGAAAATCCAAGCTGACACTCTTGAAGCTTTGATAATTTCACCAACATTCCAAACCCTAACTTTGTAACGTAACAACAATGAAACAGAAAAACTAAAAATTTAGACCATATTTCCAAATAAACTATTACCTTTGGCTTCCTAAATACAAGTAAAAAGTGAAAACATATAATTTTTTTTCCTCTAGAAAAACCAGAAAGATAAATATTTGATTTTCTTTTTTTACAGAAAAAGTCTTGCTATATTGCCCAGGCTTGCCTCAAATTCTTGGGCTCAAGCAATCATCCAGCCTTAGCCTTCTGAGTAGCTGGGACTACCCGAACATACCACCACACCTGGCTTTTATTTTAATGAGTCTCTCTTTCAATAATAATTGATACTACCCCAAAAGAGATCAGTTTTAGATACATCACAAACAGACAAACAGATCCTGCTATCAGACGACTAGGAAGCAAAGTCTATAGCTGTGTGCATTAAAAATCCTGGTCAGGCCAGGCACAGTGGCTCATGCCTGTAATCCCAGCAGTTTGGGAGGCTGTGGTGGGTAAATCACCTGAGGTCAGGAGTTGAAGGCCAGCCTGGCCAACATGGTGAAACTCCGTCTCTACGAAAAATACAAAAATTAGCTGGACATGGTGGCAGGCGCCTGTAATCCCCGCTACTTGGGAGGCTGAGGCAGGAGAATCACTTGAACCTAGGAGGCAGAGGTTGCAGTAAGCCGCGAATGCACCATTGCACTCCAGCCTGGGGGACAAGAGTGAAATTCCATTTAAAAAAAAAAAAAAAAAAATCCGGTCAGTCTTAGAATTCACTGGGGAAAAAAAAAATCATCATTGTCACATGTAGAGTAATATATGGCAGAGGGTCTACAAATTCCTCCAGGAGATAAAGCGACACCAACTACCACAGGGTCCTGCCATGGAGCTCAACCAGGAAAAAAAATTGTTTTCAAAGAATAGTGGAGAAATTTTACAAATACATCCCCCAGACTTAAGCTGCAACATTTGCCAGGAATCCTGTTTCACAGTGATAATTATTGAAATGATGTAACTACTGACCTCCTATCCTTTACAGGATTATATATATTATATTGTACATAGTTTATAATAAATTATATGAAGTACTAACACTTCTGTTCATACTACTAAATGAAGGATGTGCTAAAAATGTTCAAATGAATCTATTACAGACCCAAGCATAAGATGAGATGTTATAAACAACAAATAGTTATATTAGATACTATGATATCCAAATTTGGATCAAGTAAGCACTGTAGAGAATTACATTTGTAAAAATTCCTTTCAGTAGTGGAAAGAAATGACTTTGGAGAAAAGGAAAATGATTTTGGAAGAGACAGCATGGTGCAGCTTCTTTGACCAGAGGTCAGAGGACTAGCTAGAAAGGAGCCTGTGCCCACAGAAAAAGCAGAAGCAAGAAATTTGCTACAATGCTTATAGAGCACTCCCTTGTTATCCAAGGTATCCGAGCAACATATCAAAGGAAACACAGAAGCAGCCAGTATCTCATCTGAGGTGAAAGATGTCATCCTATACTTTTCCCTAGGTAGCCTGCCAGCATGTCTTTCCAGGCACAATGAATCAATAGTAGATACAACCTCCTGACCAAGAAGTTTTGATATCTCAAAAGAAAGTAGGTTCTCAAGTAGTAGAAACCAAAGAATGAAATACACATACCTATTCCTAGTTAAAGGTAAGCACTTTCAAAATGGTTTGTTTTCCACCATAGTAAATATAAATACATAAAAAGAAGGTTGGGGTCGTATATCACACAGCAATAAATCAATACGCAGAAGTGATTCATTCTGTACGAGATTCCTCTTAATTTCTTCCCACAACATTCAAGGAAATTCAGGCAACGAAAAGTTACCTCAAAAATATAAAACACTTTGCAATTCATACATTTACAATCACAAAACTTCTAAACAAAAAAAGTAAGTACAAAAAAATTATCTTTTCTAATAGGAAATAAGCTATCTAGAGGTTTCATTTATTTTCCAAAATTAAAGAGATTTTTCCATGTCTTTTCACTTAGAGCATAAACCAATTCAGAAGGTAAGACTGATATTTTCATCTTTGAAAATTTACAATGAATACAACCATTCCCTGATTTTCAAAATGAATTTAAAATTGAAATTAATGGTTCTACTAAACCATGACCATACCGTTTTTACTTTATCTACACATATCAGGTTTTTGTGACTAGAAAATGTTTTAATTAAGCTGTTTTTTCTATTACTAGGAAGCATTATTAACCTAGAAACAAATTCCTAAAATAAATAGATAATTCCATCTATTAGTTCTCTCATCTATTAGAAACTTTTTTCCTCATTCTAATTGTCCTTTAATGTACTACTATGGTGGTGATTTGCAAACTGATACTCTTGTATGGAACTTTAGCTCTCTATCAAAAGTACTTCTTTATTTAAAGCTAGAAGTAGAAAAATTAAACTGTTATTTTAAAAAATTAAACTAAAAAATCAGCCAGGAAAAATCTATTTTTTTGTATTTTTGAATTACTGAATAGATTAGATTAGAAATAAATCAAATAGAAATATTTAGACACATCTTCATATGTCGACATGGTAAAAGCTTAGGGTTATTATTTGAGATATTTATCCTAATTATATTGGGCTATGACAAAGAATTATGATTGTGGCGCCCTCTGCTGGGTTTTCTAGTCACAAACCCAATATCACTACTGGCATAAGAAAATCAAATTTTTGAGGCATGAAGTGAAAAATTACTTTTTCAGTCCATGGTTACTTTACGTCCAAGATTATATAAAAGTCATAATCAATATTTACTTTATTGGAACAGGACTTTACCAATTTATCATTAAATGAAACATAGATTTTTCCATTAAAATAAAAAGAGTAAACATAAAAAGTACACAAACCAACATATTTTAATAGGTCTTATTTTTGTCACCACTTCTATCACTTAACAATATATTCAGGTTTTTAAGGCAATATTTATAATGAGGCATTTTAATAAACAGCTATTTTGCTAATTTTATCTAATTTTTCTGCCTTGTTAGTTCAATTAAAATAGTATAAAACAGAATAACCCTAATAATATTATCTTCTTTATTAGAAAAAAAACAAAAGAGGTTATATAGGTACTCATCGCCACTAATAATTAATAGCTTCCATTTATTGAATATCAACTCTGAGCCATGCGGTATGTTATGTACTTTCTTTATAATATAGCCAGTCCTAAAACATGAAAACAGTTGAGGTTCATAGAGATGACACAAATTGCTTAAGATGAATTTCAGAGCCAAAAGTCAAATGCAGGTGGGTATCATTCCAAAGTCTTAAATCTTTCTACCAAACAACAGACAACAATAAAAAAAAACACCCTTAATATGCAACCTTTCCGTTTGTTCATGCAACAACAACACGGGGTATGGAACAAGTTGACAGGAAAAAATGTTAAAGAAGGATAAGACAGTTATTCATGCCTAAAATAATAATCGATGCCTTTAGGAAATTCTTATTTTACATAATGCTGCCAGCTAGGGGCCCTATTTCATACTGAGTCAACTGGGAACAATACTTGACTTTTACATTACTGAATCAGAAATTCCACATTTAACATTCTAGAATCATTTTCTGAAATTACATATGTGTAAGGCTAACTTAATGATATTTAACATTACCCCAGAACTAAAAGAGTATGTATCCTCAACCATCATTGATATGCTTTGCCCAGTCCTTGCTTAGACCTAATAAAAATATGAGATATGCCTAAGTGGGAAAGAATTCACTAAATGCCAACATGGAGAAACTAAAAGGCATTCTGGTTCAAGTTGGTGTTTGGAAAATTAAAAAAAGAAAGAAAATTTTTAAAAAGGCACATCTGTCACTATCCATGAAAAAGAAACCTATATTATTTTAGGTATTTAGGATAATTTAAGGACATTTATAGATTCCTTAGTGAATCACAAGCATTTTTCTATAAAATCAAAAGCTTATCATAATGTGGACATAAGAACAAAAGTACTTTTGAGTATTACTGAACATAATTCTACACAAATCTATTCATTTGATAAAGCTGCATTGTTAAGCCAAAGACACTACCTAAATTCAGACAGTAGTTAACTTTTCCGAAATTTTCTTTGAGAAAAAGAGTATAAGTACTATTTTCACATTTAAAATGGTCATATTTCATTGACAATTCACTATCTTAAGAGAAATGTCCTATACAAAAAACATAAAAAGTCCATAGCTCTTACGATGGTATTCTGTTTAACTCAGTGACATAAAGGTATTCTTGGCTGATTTCTTTCATCACATGAAATTAATTACAAGAATTATAAGAAATATTTAAGTGATTTTCTCAGTGGACAAATCTATCACCACTTAATCAGAAGCTTGGATGAAAAGGCAATATATTCTATAATATTGTAATACTGCGTCAAACAAAAGCACTCTGGTATTAATGTATAGTAGCATCAAGAAAAATATGTTCTGGGTTTATTCTACAGTGAAAGTAAACAAGCAAGAAATGGCAAAGAAAGCACCCAAAACAAAGCAAAGAAAGAAGAAACAGCCCCACTATTGAATTCACTGAGGTCAAAATGTAAACAAAAATAAAAGGGACAGTACTTCAGTGTCCAGTGTCCTTTCTGACCTATATTCTCTCTCTCTCTCTCTCTCTCTCTCTCTCTCACACACACACACACACCTGCAAAGTGTAAAAACTGCAGTATCCCATTTTGTCGGTGTACCTTACAAAAGACATATTTTTCAGCTGAAGACAGTAAAACTTTCTATTTTATATATATGCATACATTTAGTGAGCATAAAAAATATTAGTGAGAAGAAAACATCAACTATAAATTCACTTTGTAAAACACTAAATATATTTATATAGAGTGAATGTGTAACTTACAAACATTTCCTGTATTGTCAAAGCTGGTAAGGACATCTTCAACATTCAAGGATCCACTATTATGCCTAGAAAGAAGTAAAGCGTTTGCTTTAATTATTCTGAAAAGTTAACATTTTTAGTTTTCAAAAAAGCTGAGACTGAGACTGTATATTATGATACATCCAATAGCAATAAATTATTCCATGCTATATTTTAAGAATATTTTCTGCCCACTAGAGGGAGAAGGAAAAGAAAAACAGTATGGTCCTCAGAATATTTAACATAAAGACTTTTTAAATGATAAATCTACATCTTAAAGTACTAACAAATAATATTTACTTGTTGTGTTTTCATTATATAAAGGGAAGTTCTTAACCTTTTTAAAGCCAAAAAATCCACACAGTATAGAGAATCTTCAAGTTGAAAAATCATCACCTTCCAGAACCACACTCAACAATACATAAATTTACTCTATAACAGCACAAAAAATTCAGAACTTCAGTCACAAAGAACTAGCCAATCTTCAGGTCTGCTGTTCCATCTACAGGCAGTTATGAATGTCAGTGAGCAAAGTTTTTGTATCTTTTGCCCACTAATCTGAATTCTAACACCTTTAATTCTAATCCCTCTTCACTTAACTCTTAAATATTTGACTTGACATTGATATTTGATTAATACCTATAAAAAATACTCTTTGTTATATACAAATAGACTCAATTGTGCAATAGGTCATAGAGTCTGAGTTTCTCAGGGAAAAAACAAATTAGTGCTAATCTATCTACAATCCTCTACATTCTCTCCCAGCTAGAGTTCTTTAGAATGTTATAAAAGTTTGTAATAACCATTGATAATTCATAAACATTTACTTCAACATTCACTTTGTCATTTACAATTTGTCATAAATGATATATAGAATTATGGACTGAAGTGTGCCTCCTACTTCCCCCAAATTCTTATGCTGAAGCCCTAACCCTGTGGTACCTCAAAAGGTGACTATATTTAGAGATAGGACTTTTAAAGGTAATTTAGTTAAAATAGGGTCATTAGGGTGGGCCCTAAAGCAATGTGACTGGTTTCTTTATAAGAAGAGGGGGTATTGGGAATTTCACCCCCATCCCCCACAGCAGCAGCTACAGCAAGACCCAACCAAGGAGTGTCTGAGCTCACACATGCCTAGCCCTGCCCCTACCTGATGGTCCTTCCCTACCTACCCTGATAGCTGAAGGCAAAGGGCCTTCTTGGGAGGTCTAGGGCCCCACCCACCGCCAGTTCCTCTCCATACTACTACAGTTGATGTTCTCTGGAAAGCGCCACCTCCCAGCAGGAGGCCAACCGGCACAAAAATAGAGCATTAACCACCAAAGCTAAGAACCTTCACAGACTCCATTGTACTCCCCTGCCCCGCCACCTCCACCAGAACAGGTGCTGGTATTCACAGCTAAGAGACCCATAGACAGTTCACATCACAAGACTCTGTGCAGACAACCCCCAGTACCAGCCCAGGGCCAGGTAGACTCACTGGGTAGCTTGAACCCAGGAGAGACAACAATCACAGCAGTTCTGCTCATAGGAAGGAAGCCACATCCAGAGGAAAAAGGGGAGAAGAGTACTACATCAAGGGAACACCCAGTGGGACAAAAGAATCTGAACAACAGCCTTCAGCCCTAGACCTTCCCTCTGACGGAGCCTACCCAAATGAGAAGGAACCAGAAAAACAATCCCGTTAATGTGACTAAACAAGGCTCATTAATACCCCCAAAAAATCACACTAGTTCACCAGCAATGGATCCAGACCAAGAAGAAATCCCTGATTTACCTGAAAAAGAATTCAGGAAGTTAGTTATTAAACTAATCAGGAAGGCACCAGAGAAAGGCAAAGCCCAATGTAAGCAAATCCAAAAGAAAAATATAAGAAGTGAAGGGAGAAATATTCAAGGAAATAGATAGCATAAAGAAAAAACAGTCAAAACATCAGGAAACCTCAGACACACTTTTAGAAATGTGAAATGCTCTGGAAAGTCTCAGCAATAGAATTGAATAAGTAGAAGAAAGAAATTCCGAGCTCAAAAACAAGATCTCAGAATTAACCCAATCCAACACAGACAAACAGAAAAAGAATAAGAAAATATGAACAAAGCCTTCAAGAAGTCTAGGATTATGTTAAACGACCAAACTGAAGAATAATCGGTGTTCCTGAGGAAGAAGCTTGGAAAACATATTTGGGGGAATAATCAAGGAAAATTTCCCCAGTCTTGCTAGAGACCTAGACATTCAACTACAAGAAGCTCAAGCTCTGGGAAATTCATCACAAAAGGATCATCACCTAGGCACATTGCCATCAGATTATCCAAAGTTAAGATGGAGGAAAGAATCTTAAGAGCTCTGAGACAAAAGCACCAGGTAACCTATAAAGAAAATCCTATCAGATCAACAGCAGATTTATCAGCAGAAACCCTACAATGCGGAAGGGACTGGGGCCCTATCTTCAGCCTCCTCAAACAAAACAATTACCAGCCAAGAATTTTGTATCCAGTGAAACTAGGCATCATATATGTAGGTATCATATATGAAGGAAATTGCAGCCTTTTTTAGACAAACAAATATTGAGAGAATTTGCCATTACCAACCCACCACCACAAGAACTGCTAAAAAGAGCTCTAAATCTTGAAACAAATCCTGGAAACACATCAAAGTAGAACCTCTTTAAAGCATAAATCACATAGGACCTATAAAACAAAAATACAAGTGAAAAAGCAAAAACAAAAGAAACCAAAGTACTCAGCAACGACCAGTACAATGAATGCAAGGGTACCTCACATTTCACTACTAACAATGAATGTAAACGGCCTAAATGCTCCACTTAAAAGACGCAGAACCACAAAATAGATAAGAACTCACCAACGAACTATCTGCTGCCTTCAGGAGACTCATCTAACACATAAGGACTCATACTTAACTTAAAGGGGTGGAAAAAGGCATTTCATGCAAATGGATACCAAAAACTAGCAGGGGTAGCTATTCTTACATCAGACAAAATAAGCCTTAAAGCAACAGCAGCTAAAAGAGACAAAGAAGGATATTATATAATGGTAAAAGGCCTTGTCCAACAGGAAAATATCACAATCCTAAACATATATATACCTAACACTGGAGCTCACAAATTTATAAAACAATTACTAATGCCAAAGAAATGAGATAGACAGCAACACAATAATAGTAGGGGACTTCAATACTCCAGTGATAGCACTAGACAGGTCATCAAGACAGAAAGTCAACAAAGAAACAATAGATTTAAACTATACCTTGGAACAAATGGACTTAACAGATATATACAGAACATTTCGTGCAACAACTGGCAGAATAAACATTTTATGCAACAGCACATGGAACTTTCTCCAAGACAGACCATACGATAGGCCATAAAACGAGCCTCAATACATTTAAGAAAACTGGAATTATATCAAACTCTCTCTCAGACTACAGTGGAATAAAACTGGAAATCAACTCCAAAAGGGACCTTCAAAACCATGCAAATAGATGAAAATTAAATAACTTGCTCCTAAATGAGCACTGGGTCAAAAATGAAATCAAGACAAAAATTAAATTATTCAAACTGAATAACAATAATGACACAACCTATCAAAATCTCTGGGATACAGCAAAGGTGATGCTAAGAGGAAAGTTCATAGCCCTAAACGCCTACATCAAAAAGACTGAAAGAGCACAAACTGACATTCTAAGGTCACACCTCAAGGAACTAGAGAAACAAGAATAAACCAAACCCAAACACAGCAGAAGAAAGAAAATAACCAAGATCAGAGCAGAACTAAATGAAATTGAAACAACAACTACAAAATACAAAAGACAAATGAAACAAAAAGCTGGTTCTTTGAAAAGATAAATAAAATTGATAGACCATTAGCCAGATTAACCAAGAAAAAAAGAAAGAAAATCCAAATAACCTCACTAGGAAACAGGAGACATTGCAACTGACACCACTGAAATAGAAAAGATTATTCAAGGCTACTACATTTATGCACACAAAGTAGAAAACCTAGAAGAGACTGATAAATTCCTAGAAAAATATAACTCTCCTAGCTTAAATCAGGAAAAATTAGATACCCTGAGGCACCCAGCTAGCCCAGTCAGTAAAGCATGAGAATTAGATACCCTGAACAGACCAATAACAAGCAGCGAGATTGAAATGGTAATTTTTAAATTACCAATAAAAAAAAAGTCCAGGACCAGATGCATTCACAGCAGAATTCTACCAGACATTCAAAGAAGAATTGGTACCAATCCTTTTGACACGATTCCACAAGATAAAGAAAGAAGAAACCCTCCCTAATTCATTCTATGAAGACAGCATCACTCTAATACCAAAACCAGGGACAGACATAACCAAAAAAGGAAACTACAGACTGATATCCTTGATGAACACAGATGTTAAAATCCTTAACAAAATACCAGTTAACCGAATCCAATAACATATCAAAAAGATAATCCACCATGATCAAGTGAGTTTCACACCAGGAATGCAGGGATGCCTTAACATATGTAAGTCAATAAATGTGATATACCACATAGACAGAATTAAAAACAAAAATCACATGATCATCTTAATAGATGCAGAAAAAGCATTCGACAAAATCCAGCATCCCTTTATGATTAAAACTCTCAGCAAAATTGGCATACAAGGGACATTCCTTAATGTAATAAAAGCCATCTATGACAAACCCACAGCCAACATAATACTGAATGGGGAAAAACTGAAAGCAGTCCCTCTGAGAACAGGAACAAGATAAGGATGCCCACTTTTACCACTCCTCTTCAACATAAGTCCTAGCCAGAGTGATCAAAGAGAAAGAAATAAAGGGCATCCAAATCAGTAAAGAGGAAGTCAAATTGTCACTGTTTGCTGATGATATGATCATTTACCTTGAAAACCCTAAAGACTCCTCCAGTAAGCTCCTAGAACTGATACAAGAATTCAGCAAAGTTTCCAAATACAAGATTAACGTACACAAATCAGTAGTTCTTCTATACACCAACAGCGACCAAGTGGAGAATCAAATAAAGAACTCAA